TCTTTGAATGTCTTTAATGGGAATCAATGAGAAGTAATAAGAATTATTAGGATAAAACAAATTTAAGTTCAAGCCAACAAGTAAGGTAGCTAAAAATAGGAAGACAAAAAAAACACAGTTCATTCACTTGCAAAGAGAAACAGCAAACGTTGCAATCACTTCAATCCACAAAACATCGTTACAAAGAAAAAAAAGGAAAAAGAAAACTTTCTAAGGCAGTCCATTAAAGATAAATTGCATTGCTTTGTTCTTTGCTTAAGGGACTAATTTATCTTTAAACAAAAGAATTCCTTTGGGCAAGGGAAAAATCTCACCAGATAGACTCACTTTCACTTTCACTGCCTTCTTTCTGGAGCCATCTCCGACTTCGTCAGCACAGGGCTGTCCGTTTATCGCTAACTTGGAGAGCTTCTCTTGGGTCAATCAGGGACTTTGCGATGTCCCTGAGACCAGCAAGGCTTTGTCTCCCTATCACCGTCTCTACGGGACAGCTTAGGTCCGTAAGGACCATGTAGCAATAAAAGAATCAGCGGGGGTCTTGGAGCATCGAGACCGCACATTTGTATCGTCGCGACTTTGGCTCTCGAATCCAATGTTTTTCTTATATGTTTTTTTCTTATTTATGGGGAAAAATGGGAGAAAAGTCCTCAGTTAGGGAATGAGATTAGATCAATTCAAAAATAAACTCTTAGTTCAGGGTCAAAGCTTCATGTAACTTGAAATTCAAAACTTCCCCACCCCCGGTTCTCTATTAATTATAACTGGAAAATATCAAATGGGAAATAAATGTCAGATTAAATTTATTTGTTTAGTTTTTAGCCTTCTGTGGGATTTTATTTTCTTAAGAGAGATGACACATGCTAAATTGAAGATAAAACATAAATGTTTTTCTTTATATAGAAGTGTGTTATTCTTATTTCTAACAGATTTCAGAGTAGTTTTTAGTCATTGCGGCCTTTTCTAAAGGGATAAATCTGGCCATACTTTAGAAGATTAGGTTCAAAGCTAAGATCATCTTATTAACATTACAACAAGCTTATTATTAAAGCTTATGTTGTTATTTTATAACAACCAAATCATTCATGAATCAAATCGGATAGGTAAGTGACCAATGAAATAGTGAAAAAACTAGCTATTTTCATAATATGGATATGACACATTCTTCATAGTTTTCATTTTTACTTAACACGTTCAAGTTTCTATTTCTTCTTTCTTTTGAATTTTGATAAGCACATCTATTCAAAAGAATGTGTAATTAATCCTTAATGGTACTTATTACCCGGTAAGTACCATATTTTTCAGCCTATAAGATGATCTGGCCTGTAAGACAGACCTAGCTTTTGGGGAGGAAAACAAGAAAAAAAAATCTGCCTCTGCCTCCCAGCAATTTGCCTCCTTGCAGCAAATAGCAATCAGCCTAGTCAGCTTCAACACAGCCTAATTTAGCACGAGCAGCTGATTGGCGGTTGGATCTGCCTCCCAGAATACTGCCTATCAGCTGTTCCAGGCTGCAGAGATCGCCATCGCCTATTGCTGCTGCCGCCTATTGCCTCATCCACGCACCCCTTTTTCAACCTCCACGAACCCTATTTTCAACCTCTGCGCATCCCATTTTTGGCCCATTCCAGGCAGCAGAGGTGATCACTGCAGCCTGGAACAACTGATAAGCATATTCCAGTAGGCCGATACAACCACCAATCAGCTGCTCGTGCTAAATCTGGCTGTGCTGAAGCTGACCAGGCTATTTGTTGTTTGCTGCAAGGAGGCAGATTGCTGAGAGGCATAGGCCAAAGGGTGGGGCTTGGTGGGTGGGTGGGGCAGTGGCAACATTCGTTGTGTAAGACACACAGACATTTCCACCCACTTTTTTGGTGGGGGAGTGCATCTTATACACCGTAAAATATATCCAAAGTCAGCTGAAATAGGTGAGGATGTATCATAGATCCGAGCAGGTGCTACGTTTGAATTCTCCTGAAATGCTGTCTTGTTATGAGGTCAATGCCATATTCAGGTTTTATTAGTCCAATGCAGATCTGAAGACATCTTCCTCAGAATTTCTACATCATAGCTGCAGACGTTATCAAAGTTCATCTTTCAGATAGTATGAATTTTTCAGACGTCAGCCTAATTCATAAGCTTTAATTTTGAGAAAGCAAAATAAACATATTTTATAGAAATGAAAGAGATTGTAAATCAGATGTGTAGAAATTTGACCCACTATTTTACTGGAATGAGACCCAATATTTTAGAAACTCTACTGAATTAATGTATGAATAAAATCTAGAAAATAAAAAATGAACTGAATTGGTATGAATTTTATGACACTGGCATTTTTCAGCACAAGCTGCTTAAACAAAAATCATTTCATAAGTCTAAAGGATTTCTAAATAACCACTTCAGCATTAGATTGTATCTTAATGATATATGTAATCAAAAATATTATGTGATCAAAAATGAGTATGACATCAATTCCAGTTAAAATGATAAAGGTTTTGGTGCAATATTTACTAACCTGATGCTTATCAGATGGGTTTACCCAACTTTTTATAAGATTAAAATCCAAAACTGTAAGAGACTGCTTTAGGAATTACATTTCCAAATAAATACATTAATCTTATTCAGTATCTTTCTTTAAAAAAACATTTCTTAAGTTTGAAAGTTGTAGAACTTATTATTATTCAACAAAATTCTACCTGCACCATAATAATGGGGCCCCCATTCTGATAAAGGTGAGGCTTCATCTTTGGTAATAAGACCCTCATCCATCTTCCTACAGCTGCTAAATAGTCTGAAAAAAATATAACAGAGTTAGAGTATTTTTTATGTTTCATTGTAGCTGTCTAAACACATACATCTCAAAGCAATTTTAGGGCGTGTCAAATTTTTTAAATTTCAATTTCCAAACATTAGAGGTACTCGAAAGTTATGACATGCCTTGGGGATTGTAAAGATATTTTGGTTACTTTAATATAATTTAGATGTGCTTGGTAAAAATCATAATTTTTAACATTTTGTTTGTTTCATTTGATTATAAAAATATTATAAGTAATCCATTCATAATTTAAAATACCATATTCATTAAAACATTTATTTAAAATTCATTAAATTAAACCTTGGGGGAAGAGTATTCCAGAGAAGGTTCAGATGCAAATAAACCAAAATTCTTGGAAGTACTATTATGGCATCACTGAAAAAAGTGACTTTTGACCTGCCCTTACACTTACAACCAAGGGTCTCCCAATAAGTAGCAGTGGGGAAAGCTAGATTCACTTAACAACTGTATACTTTGCTTAATGATAGCAAAAAAGTTTGCAAAATCAGACGCAACTCACTTAACAACCTAACTGCTTGATGATGGAAGCTTTAATCCCAATTTTCAGTTGTAAATTGAGGGCTACCTGTATTATATTTCTGAATGGTCCCATATTTGTGGGATCACAAACCCAAATTTCCAGAACCTAATTTTATTTTCATCACATATAAATACAGATATTATAATACATTTTGTTATTTTCTTTTCTTACCTGAATCAGAAGATCTAAGAACAATTGAATCCTTTTCTAATAACCAGGCAGGCAGACCACCCTATAATGATGATGATGATGATGATGATGATGATGATGATGATGATAATAATAATAATAATAATAATAATAATAATAATAATAATGATGATGTGTTTGTAATTGGAGCCCTTGGAGCAATACCCAAAGGGCTACCTCGCTATTTGGAAATTTTAAATTTATCAGACTTGAACATTCTGATTCTACAAAAAACCAACCTTATTGGAACAGCTATATCCTCCAACATTACCTTAACAGTTCCTAGGTCCTTGGTTAGGACTCGAGCTGTTGAGCTACCAACCAGCCCCAAAGCAAGGAATTAACTTCAGCCAAGTACATTTGACGAATTTGCAAGATATTAAACAGACCAAGTGAACCGGAAAGAATTGAGAAAGGTACTAAAAAAGGTCAATGAGGCTGTGCAAACCATTCAA